TAAATCTTCAAAAACTCATTGCATCATCACGCTTTCGTTCAGCAACTTAGTTCCGAACTCCTCAGAGTGTACGTTAGTCTATTCGATGGTTAAAACAAACACATCTGATTCCCCGGAAATTGGCATCAGTTTTTTAGCTCCTTCACAACTTTACATCTGCGTGTATAAAAATCCCGCTGCCTACTTCTTGCAAGTTCACTTGTAAACAAGTTAGAGGTGCAGTGCAGTACATTCAAGGTAGATACTGTGGCGAAGGGGAAAAGTCTCCATCCTTTCGGTTCGAGAAACGGGTAGCGAACTTTTTGTGGCAGTAAAAACACTGACTTTACATCTTAGTAGACGCCTACAAGTCACTGTGCGTGTCAAGTATGCATTTAGTCGCCTGTACGGTGCCTTATAGTGTCGAATTAATGTCGAAGCTGTAACGGATTGCTAAAATGTAAACGCCTTATTCTTTCCTACCTTTCAGATTCTCAAAACTCATAAAGCTTTTTAAAACACTTTTAGCAGCGGCTTGTTTATTAATGGGCTTTCTCGGCAAGCAGTTGTAATGCTGTTAGAAGAAGCTGTAGTCTATTGATGAGAGATCCAGGTGACTAATGGTTGAACACTTAGCATCGTATCGCCGTGTTTCTTGGGAATCGCCGCAGAAGCATAAATCTTTCTCTGAGAAAAAGGCTGTGCAACACTGGAAAGACAAGGTAGCCCATAAATATACTGGATAGTTAATATTTGCAAAAGATGGTTGGCGGTCCGATGAATAGTTAATTGTAGTGATGAACGATAAATGAAAATAAGAACTGCAAAATCTTTTCATACGATTTCCTTCTTCACTTATCTTTGCTCTTCATTCGACAGCCTTTCAATCAGCTGCCGTGTCCAGGTGTTAGCTTTCCACTTATCAGTGGCTTTCAAGTTGGAGTCACCATGAACTTCTTTGAAGGCACTGTTGTTCTGCGTAATTAAAAACATTGGGAAAAAAAAGTTTACGAAGAATAGGGAGACGTCCGGCCCGTAGGTTTACTAACTTTCTTCACCATATAAGAAAAAAGTTAGTAAGTTAACTCAGTTTCAATACCGCTTAACTCCATGATAAACTAGACGTATAAAACTTGCTCCTCAACTGTAGGTGCTCTGGTCATAATAGGCCTTAGCTTCACGTTAAGAATCAGCCGTATTTTTTTTCTTATAGCTAAGAGGAACGTGTGATTTTCCGAATAAGATGAAAGAGACATTGATTTCTTGTGAGCCTCATTAAATTACTGAATGCTGTTAATGGAAACGTTAATTTAAAATTGGCTCATAATTCTACGAATTTCTTATTTTTCTTAGTAAACAGTTTCGCAGCGATACACTATCCAATTTGTGTACTCTGGACCCGTGAGTGTGAGCTATTCGTTTTTGTAATTCATTGCGGGAGTTTTTGTCTTGATCGAGAACTCTTCAAGAGATTTGCACTCTGCAGCTTCTTTTTTTCAATACTGGGATTGTGATTTTAACGAACACCTTTGTTATCCCATGTATCTCTAGTGGAGTACTCTGATCAAGTTATACCAGATTTCATAGCAGAGATCAGATACATAACTCCTGAAGTCATAGAATCTTTGTCGTTGTGGCTAGAGCAAATTATGAAATGTGAGGTCGTTACGAGTGAGTCGACGTCGTTGATTGTTTCGCGATAATACGGCACTTCTTTTACACCTGTTCTCATTAAGAATAGCTTATATATATGGTTAAAAAAGAAGAGCGACGTTATACGGGATCTTATTGGCGTTAGGTTTCAGATGATTTCTGGGCTTTCCTTCTCAAATGTAACTGATTCGTTGCTATCGGAAATGAATGGAGAATTCTGACAAATGAAGGCCTCCACTTCATCACCTACCTTCCGTCGGAGTTTACCTTTTACCACTTACTAACACTAGCTTCAAAATCTTTTAACTTTTATTACATGCCTATTTGCTTTTCAAGGCAAGGTATGATGTGAAATAGAACAATAGAGATGCTGAGGTGTGTGCAAAACTGGACCCTACCTCATTGCCCTTACCGGGTCTCAGGTGCCCTGTTAAGTTTAAATTAGTGTCTGTTAGTTCACAAGTCTAATGTCATGTTAGCACATCAAACCCACGAGTTTCGAAGATGATCACAAAAACGGTTGCCGCCTAATGAGTCGACATCTGCCTTTTTCCTTTTGGGACATCATGCATCTGTTCAATTAGAGATGGCAAGGATAAGTGTGGTATCTGTATATGGTCGACAGATCAAATATTGATTAATTCGGACGTGAAATATGATCTATCTTGTTAATGTAACTGAAATTCCCCAAAGACTTTCAGATCAGGCAAACTTCCTTTTTTTCGAGATTATTATAGTTTAGTTGTGTTTCTTTTTTGTGGCATACAAATCGAAACAAAACTTGGTGGTTTGAGGTGATCATCTACAGAAACTGACAACACGGGCTTTAGCAATACATCATAAGAACTAGTACATTCTACTATGTTAGGAGTTCAAATGCCTAAATTTCAAATGAAGTGTTGCAAAAAGAATTATCAATTTGTCATAAAACTAAAGGCCGCTTGTGGCGCAGTTGTTGGAGGCGCCACTGCGACACACGCGTGAAATCGATCCCTGCACTCATGGCTCATCAACCCTTCCATCCCTCTGGGGTGGGCAAATTGGTACCAGACTTGTCTGCAAGGATAGCAGCACTAGCTCGATACATCGGTAGGCCACCGTGAATCATTGTGAAGGCCAGATAAGCATTCAATCACCTCCAACAATGCTTATTGAAGTCGAATGAGTGGCGCATCCCTCAGGGATTGGTCAACGCCAAGAGCTTTATCCTTATTATTATAGGCATAATTAGAAGAAGACATTATTAAAGAATCATTCTTTAAGCAGACTCATTGTCGAACGGAAAACAAAGAAATGAAAAGAACGATTAATTAAATAATTTTTAGTAAGAAATAACGATTCGTGGCCATTGATATCATTTATTTTCTTTTATTTTACACGGCCAGTCTTCACGTCTACTGTGCGGATCCCAGCACTTCGCAGTTCGCTTCGTTTCCTCGCATCCATTATCCGAAGATCTTCCAACTTTTACATGTGGGCTTGGCTACTGCTTGAGGATTTCCATTTCATCTTGAATTTCGTTGAATGCTGGTCCAGTCAATTCTGCCTGGAGTCCTGAGATAACCGTGCTGGAACGATCCCAATTGGATTACTGAGAGCGATAGTTTTCCCAGACAAGTCCGTTATCAATTTTCCCACACCGGAGGGGTGAGAGGCTTGGTTGACCTGGTGCCAAATCGAACTAGCACCATGTTAGTAATTACAGGCTTCACTACCACTGTGCTATCCGCTCCCTCATTCAAGTAAATACGGAATAGAAAAGCTCATAAAACCGAAAGTATTACTTTTGAATTTTTTTCTTCAATCCTTTTGCTTAAATAATAAGGTGAGTTTTTGAGATCATTCAATTATATGCATTACTGTATTTCTTGAGTTGAAATAAACGATTGAAATTAAAACGAAACTAAAATTTCTTAGTTAAAAATGATTAAAATGAAGAAAGTTCATAACAGATATTAAAGAACACGAATCTCTTGTGTTGGAGATTTTTGTACTTCTAAAGTAATTTCTAGTAAGTTTCCTCATCAATTATACGATTTATCCTTAGCGAAGTATTCAACTTCATTAAATATAACTAAGGTGAATGGATAGATATTAAGCCTATATATTGACATGCGGAGGACTATCGGTGTATTAAATGTGCGTTTTTATTCTTTCAGACAAGTCTTGTACCAATTTGGCGACTTGGTGGGTTGGGAGGCTAGCTTAGCGGCGATGCGGACCCAAATCAGCTACACTGAGTGTGGCATGGCGTCTCCGATTGCTCCTACACGTACTTTCACTGAGCTATTAGATTGCGATAGTGTAAAAATCTGTTGATAAATAAACAGCCTTCCATTTGGTTCACCTGTTTTTCTTCAATCAGTAAAAAATCCAAGTGGTACGAAATGAGAGAGAGTTGAGCTAATTAATGAATCCAACATATTTAAGAAATTCGAGCATAATCAATAAAAAGTTCAAGTAAGTAAGAATGAAGAACGATGGATTAATTAAGGCAAGCACGATGCAGGCCGTTTTTTCTTGGACAACTGATGATGACTTTTCGATATCTAGGAGAGTTTGCTACTTGATAGACTTGTGGAAGGGACTTTTGGCAATACATCTGAGGATATAAAGTTCTTTAAGTGGTTTTTCTTTTCCCATTTATAAAATATTGAAAGGGATATTTATGTTTCTGAAACTTTGCGCGGCAGTCGCAAATGGCAACTATAGATTTATGAATGTCATCGTGTTCTTCTAGATGAAATCTTGACTCGGTAGTTGTTAAGCACAACACAGTAGGACAAAAAAAAACTTTCGTGGGCTGAAGAAAATCTAAACTCTCTCGTTGCAGAATAAAAAAGCTGTAAGTCCTTGGTAGGGATATGAATATTCATAATGAACTCATTATAAGCTTAGATTTGCTTGTTTAGAAGAGTAGTCGGGTATTTTCCGGTGTTGAATTTTAAGTATGTGTGTTCCCACTAAGGGCTTACCAATCCAGTGTATGGGAAGTATGTGCAGGAGGGCATTCGAGGTCACTCGCAAGAAATGAAACTCGCATCCAGACCAGAACAGCTAGAGAAGCTACTGTTTTTCAAAGGCAGTAATAATAAAGGAGCACGTGAAAATTTCTTCACCCACTTTTGTACAATAGCAAAAAGAAAGTGTAGTTTACTGGTCACTGATCGAATCAGTTAATGGTTATCTAGTAGAAGGGAATTAGTATAAGCTTTCCTATACAGTCCAAATAAGCTACAAACATTCTTCGCACTTGGATGAATCAGTTAGAGATCAATCGTCAGTTTAATAATGATATACAAACGGACACCACTATTTGTAATTTATTCAGCTAATTATGTAATGGTTCCAGGTTGGAACGATATGTAATGATCGGTGATGTGATGGATTTCGTCTGTCCGTCCTACGACTCCGGTGTGGACTTCATGAAAACTGAACAGAGCATTATCTACAGAGTACGCTTGTCTTGTTCTCAGTAAGACCCATCGACAAATTAGCTCTTTATTCGGGGCACTTTTCGGCGTTCTTCATGAACTAACCCATATAATCTTCATATCTAAGACTTTGAAGAGAGCATCGCTTTTTTTTACCTATTCTGATTAACTAGCTGCTTCATTTAAGGTCTCTAAAGAGGATTATGAAACCTGCACACTTTCATCAGATGCTCGAGAACTAGGCCGATGCATTTCACCGATGAAGAAAGATAAAGTGAAAGTGTCTTTTAGACTGCTAAGCCCAAATCCATCAGCACTGGACTATCTTCCTGGTCAAATTTACTACTTTATAAGTGCGTTTCAGTGTATCAGAAATGAAATATAATAAATTGTACTTATTTCTCCATTTCATAAGGTCTTAAAATTTCCTGGAGCGCTGTAGTTTTTATTTTGAAGTTCCATATATGTTGTTAGTCTTCTACTAACTTCTTTACACAAAAAACCGGAAGATATTGAAAAGCAGTTAATGTGATCACTATGCCAACTTCTTACTTATTGCCTAATATAATTTTTAACGACTGGGCATGATGCGAAATACAACCACAATGATGCTGAGATATTTGCAAAACTCCGGGCCGCACGTGTCTGCGGTGCCGAACGAACGCACTGTTTTTCTTTCCGGGGTCCAACTCATTCACTACCACACCATGCAGGTCCTTCACTTCGCCTGTCTCTTATCTAGTTCTATCGACAAGTGCCACCCGTCAACAGGATTGATCTGAGGAAGCCCAGGAAACGGTAATAGTGAACGCGTTGCTCCCCGGAAAGGACAATATCGGGTTCGTTCCCTATTGCATACACCTGCGGTCCAGAGTTTTGCAAATATCTCAGCATTATAGAAGTTATATTTCGCAACATACCCTGCCGTTGAAAAGAATAGCCAGTAAATAAAATGGCTAAAAGTATGATTAGAAATATATCCAGATCTAAAGCGAATTTTGTAAGTTCTGCAAAGAAAAAAAGCAAACGAAGCTTTTATGGAAGTAGAAAGGTTTTCTCACCTACTGTGATATTGCTGCGCGATAAAAGGATAAAAAGGTAAAGCTCTCCGAGTTGATCAATCCCTGATTGTATTTCGCAGCTAATGTAATCATTGCGATCTATATTTGTTATGTTACTTAAACTAAGATCCCATAAAGGTAAAAAAATTATTATTGTGCCGTGGAAGGTTTTGATTCAATTTCCAACTTCTTGAGCTCAGCATTGGTAACTTTTAGCCTAAGTTGAAAAACATTCAGAAATTTTAAATACCAGATAAACACAATTAAAAAACTATAAATATTAGAAAAAGGAAAAAAATTCGGAATTGCACTGCGACTGTTTCAGCAACCTCTACCGGTACTCCGTGGGGTCTCGACAACCATAAAGGCGGCCTTTGTTCAAGTCATCAGCTAAAAATGATAATTCACGTTGGAGATTATGGTATGAAACTAATGAGTATTTAAGGAAGAAATTTCGTCCAATATTGAGTCTATTCAAATTAAGTTTATCATCATCGCCATCACAAGAAACTCGTCACCACCACTGCCACCACCCCCTTCAGGATATCGCACAAACCACTTGGACAGGAGACCAACTGGCTAACGGGTGACCCGCTATGGAATCGATTATTTGAAAAGGTGCGAAAATGAGAGTCAAATTATATGAAACAACAGTAAAATTAATCTATTTGTCGCCTAATTTGATGTTGTTACGATTCTTAGCAGCGATCGAACATCAATCACCCGCTTTTCACTGTTTTTCTTACGTTTTTTTTTCACTCCTCGATCATTCTAATGTTAGCATATCCATAATGGAAAGCACATCTTTAAACTGTGAATTATTAAGTGAGCTAAGAAGAACATTAACGAATAATCAAATTGTCAATTAAGTAAAAAATCGAAATCAGCAATGGAACATTAGTAATTTTATAGGCAAAAAAATAAAAGGGGTGTGTGTGGCGCAGCGGTCGGAGGCGCCGTGTAACACACACGTGGAATCGGTCCGCGCGCCCATGGCCCACCATGCCTTCCATCCTTTCGGGTTCACCAAATTCGTACCAGACTTTTCTGGAAGGATAGCAGCACTGGCTCGATACATCGGTAGGCCATCGCGAATCATTGTGAAGGCCAGATATGCATTAAATCACCTCCAAATGATGCTTAATGGAGTCGAATGCGTGGCGCATCCATCAGGGATTGATCAGCGCCGAGAGCTGTACCCTTTATCCTTTATCTGCAAAAGAAATGTTTTTGCTTCAAATATAGAATAAAATCACTTACTTACCTACTCGATTTTTATATCAATCTGTAGGTTCTCATAGTATTTTTTTTCTTCAAGATTGAGAAAGTGGGGAATTCGGTCTGGCCAACAGTAACAAGAGGCGAGCGATTAGCTCTTGATGAAGAGAATCGGCGCCATGAATACGAATCGGCGCATCCGGACGGCGATTTTGTCTTCCAAATTCATGAAATCGGAGAAGGTTTGTGCTTAGATCATCGAAGGATAGTTATGAATCTCAATTTAGCCTATTATTTACTGCCTATTCTTTTTAACGGAAGGGTATACATTGTGAAACATAACTTCAATGGTGCTGAGATATTTGCGAAAGTCCGGACCGCAGGTGTATGCGGTGGGGAACGAACACGCTCTGTTGTCCTTACCAGCGCACTTCACCACCACACCATCCGGGTCCTTCGTTTTGCCTGTCTCTCAGCTAGTTCTATCGATCTTTTGCCATCAGCGCGTTCTTGTTGAGCCAGCATATTCGTGCATATTCAGTAGAAGATTCATGGAAAGCGATGAGTGTACGAAGCTGTTCAATGTGATTGAAATCTTGGTTTAGCATTCTCTTTGCTTGGTTATGGAGGTGTTTGAATGGGTAGATTGCGGTCAAATTGACCTTTCTATGCTCTGATGAAGGCTAAATTCGCCAAACATCAGCTTGTTCATGAATAAGGAATAGAATAACACCTTGCTTATTTTCAACAAGAATTTTAAAAAGTTGCTACAGTTGTGAAAACATTTATGTTTCAGTGGAGAGCCTTTTCTCAACTGCTCATCGTCTTTCGCCAATACTGACCATTACCGTGCCCTTACTGGCAATTCTATTGAGCTAAGCACCAGCCAACTTTAACGTTACTACAACGGGTCAGCACGGGTAGACGCCCGAGACTCCACGGATGGGGTCAAGGTGTTCGGCATAAAAATACCTGTGATATTTACATTGTTATTTAGTAAAGTTTAAACAAATTTCTTGTTAAGGAGATAGGCAAAGAACGTCATTCATTAATAGTTCAAAGCCGCAGTTATTCCTTCCTTTCTACTACTCGATGCAAATCATAGTTGCACAGAAAATTAGAGAAAAGCAGTAATAAGATAAATGCCAATTAAACACACAGTGGTCGAAAGCCGTTCTAGAAAATGAATTATAATTAAGACGGAAATAAATACCTGATCAGCTTTTTACACACAATGAACTGAAAAATTACTATACTAGAGGCTAACTGCTGTAAAATCACCTGTGTCGCTTTTTGCCGGAATAGCCATTAATCATTAAGGGATAACTCGAATGGACCAGCAGGAACTCCCCAGCTGTGCAGTGGAGCTGCTCGGTGGCCTCTATTCACTCCAGAAATATGGATAGCATTTTTTTTTTCACGACCACCTCTAATTTTCTTGTTTCTACTACCCAAGCATTTGCATTGTCTGCATTTCAATCAGGAGAGATGCATAGTAAAATACACATATACGCAAGTCCACTTTCGCATGCATAGTCATAACTGCGTAACCACAATGAAAAATATAAATCAATCCGTTACAAATGAAATCCCAAGTTTGGGTGCTTCTCTCCTACAGAAGAAGAATATGGTTGCCATTGTTTTGTGTTTAATTTCCTATTCTAGACAGCATAGGGTCACGCCTTTTGAATAGCCCTCACGAAGTCATTCCCAAGGAGATCTGTGCGATCGCTATGGTGTAATGCATTATATTCGGCAGCAGCTTATGACCGAAAAAATCCAGAATTTTTAAACTTAGTAGTTGTACTGCTCAGTTAAAATAATATTTTAATTAATAGGTCGCTGTAGCGCAGTAGTTAGAGGTGCCCTGCAATACACAAATCGTCTTTGGTTCGACCACCTATCCCGAGCTAAATAAGTGTTCCATGTATACAGTAACGATAGCAGATCTTTTGAGAAGGATAAAAAACACTAACTTGATGTATCGAGAGATCACCGCAAGTCTCTGTATAGACTGAAGTACATTGTGACGCCTCTGAGACGCTCAATGAAACCGAATGCACTCCGGATATCTTACGTACTAATCAGAGCACTACGCCTCATTGTCTTATTATAATCAACAATAATTCGGTGAAAAAAAATCTTAACTAGAACAATTCTTGGATCTGACCGAATGTACGATGCGGCTAAATTACGTGTCAACAGTGTAGTAGTGATCGATCAAAATGGGCGGCACATCAAAGACACTGAGCATTGACTTATTAAGAAGAGAAACATATGCGACAGATGATACGGACATTTGTGTAGACGAGGTGAACTCTCTCGACTTGTAGGCTACCGGTTGTTAATTGCGCAATGCCCTAGAGCATTGGCTCACTTTTGTTATACTTCATTAGGTTTTCCGGAGTGTAACAGTGTTATTACAGCAGCTGTTTCTTCTGCTAAGGCATACTTTCATCTTTCACAGACTTTTTTCTCATTGCAACATTCTATTGTTATTTCTTTTAAGAGATTTTTTAAATATGGCATGTAATTTGACTAGTTTGTGATCTCGTTAATCATCGCATGACTGGGGTGAGTGCTAGCAATGTAGTAGAAGGGGCAAGAAATGCGCTACAGTGTCGATATCATGGACTCATGCCGCGCTACCGTCTGTCTATGCAGTGCATTTCTTATCAACAGTTATTTAAGAACAAAACTGTTCTAAGCAGACTCCGAGTGGATAAATGTTAACGGAAATCAACAGAAAAAATCTTGGGATAGTTTTGGTGCTGGATGGATCGAAATACTAAAAAGAAAAATTAGCAAAATCACTTGAAAACGTGCGCTAAAGAAATGCTGAGAACATAATGTATTCCCTTCATGCTCATAACGGATCTCATCCTTAGTTCCATTTGTTACTAAAAGTGAACTATGCTGAACATTTGTGTTGATCTCGGTCACAAAACAGTAGTGAACACCGTAAACGGCTCTGCGTTATAATTGCACATGCTACCCGATAATATCGTAATCGGATCAGTCTAAGATAAAGCGAGCTGTATATAGACCGATTCATCATTTTGTGACAGAATCAGTTGCGGTTTCATCAAAGGACCGATATGATGTTCCCTCTTCACTCCGACAGGCTCAAATCACGACAAAAACGAGCCAGATGCTGACGGTTCGTCGTCGGTGCCGATCGAAAAGGTCACACAAGTTCGAAGGACGCACTGCTGGTGCTGTTCTCCATCCGCACGTCCATCATCACACATCAGTATCATTCAGTGACAGAGTGACATCTGCTGCTCTGATGGTGATTGTGGCTCGTTCTTCGAAAAGCGAAAATTTGACGGAAATTCATCATGGCTGATTGAGATTTCGAAATATGACGATGTCAACGAATCGTGTTTTGTCCCTATCGAAGCGAAAGAAAGCACTTGTCTGGCGCCAGACGCAATTCGCCAATCACACAATGAACTTTGCGCCGTCATTACTTAAGCCGTCCCATTTCAAAAATACCTAGAACAGGAATTCCGGAGAACTTCAAGTAAATCTTTGTCGTAGAGCGTGAGTTGTGATGATTTGAATCAAATGAGAACTACCATCAATGTTTCACTAGTTTGTCGTTTTACTCCGGCTTCCATATGCGTTTGTGTACCAGTTCTAAGCAGAAAGAAAAACTGGAATTTTTCGCATATTATGGAAAGACGTAAGCTGTGGTTTCCTATTGGCCGCAACGCTTACGATGAACGTTCTACTTTAAGATCACTGGCGTCTGTTCAATGAAAAAAAAAGCAAGGAAAAAAGTACTGAGTGAAGAAAACTTCTTCGTACGGACACAATTTGCTGGACAGACAAAATCCTTCGTTGGATATGCATAGGCGAAAACACTCAGGTGAGCAAAAAACCTAGGAAAAGTGTTTAAGCTTTAAGAATCTAAATGAAAGTTGGAAGTTTCGTTTCCTAGAGGCGTACATCTTCTAATTGATGTTGCTCATGGATTTTTGCATCCACCGTACACCAAAAAACGGGAGAAAAACAAACAGAAAACGGGACGCCATTCATTTGAATTTATTAGGTTTTCGTGCATATTGGTGTCGTGTATTGTTCGATATGAGCACTTTCGCTTGATTGAGAGCGGACGGCACTGTCAGCATGGCCAGGGCGATATTGAGGTCAAAGGTTGACAAACAATCTAATGAAATCCTTGATTAAATCAATTCAGTCTTTTCTTCTCCCAGTGCTTT